ATTAAGACAAATAAATATTAATTTTATATAAAAATGTAAATTTATATAAAATAATATTAATAATAATAAAAATATTTAAATACGTTTTTTTTTTATTATTCTCCATACTACATGCTTTGGCATACATAAAAAAATGTTAGGTACGTAAGATTATTATTTACGGTTCACATGTGTCTACAAAACCAGATTCTGAGTTTTTCCGTAAAGGTGAAGGGGAAGGAAGGCTTCTTCTCCAAGGTCACAAATTAAAGTCTCGTAACAAACCAACACACAATGAAAAAGGATAAAAGGATTAGGTATTTCGGTCCAGATATATTAGAGAAGTAAACATCACAAAAGCAAATCCCTAAAGATGAAACGTGGAAATGAGAGCATGAGCATCGAACTCAATTGTAGGATTGGTCGCGTGGCAAATGCAATGCGATGATTAATAGTGTAAGATTTGTGCATTATTGTCCCTAATATAGGATTAATTAGAAAAATAATTGAGATAAAATTTTTTAATTTTTTTAATAAATTTTATATATTATTTAATAATTAATTCTTTTTGTTTTGAGTAATGATAAAAATAATAAAAATTTTAATAAAAATTTAATATTAATGACATGACATAAGATAAATTATATTATTAAATTAATTAATACATATAATATTATAAATTTTAAAAAATAAAAAAATTAATTATTATATAATGTAAAATTTATATTTTAATTATTTAAATAATATAATTTATATCATATCATTAATTATAAATTTTAATTTTAAAATTTAATTTCATTTATTATTGTTCTTTTATTATATTATTATATATGCACAACGTGTTTTTTTTTTTTCTGAACGGCATTATCTGTGCACAACGTGAAATTAAGCAAAAGTTTGTTGAGACGTCCATTAATGTATCGTGGACTAGTTAACCATGCAATTATACTCCTTGTTTTTAATTGGTAAAGAAGTTGGTACAAATTTGTAGTTAGAGATATATTGGAACCCTAGCCGAGTATGTAATTATTCTTTTCTCACAGTTTGCCACATATTTAAAAAAATTTCTTTTCCCACAATTTAATTGGAAATTAATGTTTTATAGTACAGTTTATACTAAATGTTGAATGTAATATGAGAAATTTTGAACAGAGTAAGTGGTTGCTCTTCATTGAATTTGAGTTTAAATCCCTCTTTTTCCAAATATCCCTAACATGTAACTTTGTTTATTAATATATATATATATATATATACACACACACACACTGAATGCAAAACTGTAAAGATCTCACTCACCTAAAGAGTATATTGCTTCAGTCGAGTGCACGCCTAATTGTAAATTAAAACTATTTTATGATTTATAATCTTATAAAAAAATATATATGTAAAGAGAATATAATGTTGTTGTTTACATCATATTCAATAATTTTCTTGATTATGTTACGTAACCAAGAGGGGAAGATTTTAAAGGTAACAATTATATATTAAAATTCTCTCTCTGTCAAAAGATTCAAATATGGAAGCTCTTATTTGAATTGAAAGCTCTTTATTTCAATAAGATTAATATAATATGTTAACAATTGTTTGATTCAAGTAGAAAGAATATAATTTTATTTAAATAAGAATTCAAATTCAAATCCTAAAATTAAAAAACAAAAAAAGAAGAAGTAATGAGAGAGCTTCTTTTTTATGAATTTAACTCGACTCAATTTTAAATTAATAATTAAATTTTAATGTGACTTACAAATATAAAAGAGTTTAATAAAAAAAAAGTTAATATAATAAGATTTGTCTATCTTATGTCCTAAGATATAGGATAAAAAGTAATTATTAGTCAATAATTATTTTAAAAGATGTAAAATTTTAAATTAAAAAATAAATTCTAATTTTAATTTAAAACAAACAAATAAAAAATTTACACATGACATTTGTAATTAAAATAAAAACAAAAAATATTACACTTCAAAGATTGTATATTCTCAAATCCTGACATCGTCTAGGAAATGTGATATATATATATATTTTATCAATAAAAAAGATATTATTAAAGAGGTACAAAGAATACCTCAAACTCATTTTACATCAATACAAAATAAGGATTTCTATTTTAAAGATTACATTTGAGCATTGCAGCATCCTATGCTAGTTAACTGCTTTAGCACACTCCAAGGGATCAGTTGACCATTCATGTAAAGAAAATGTAAATCCCTTTGCCTTTCCTTTTAACCATATAAATGTTCTAATTTGAATGGCTTGAAATGTGCTTTCCACTGATGCCTCTGTTGCTCTAAAAATGAGATTGTTTCGTGCACTCCAAAGTGACCATGAGATGACAACAAAAACAAAAGACTAAGATACCTTATTCTAAGCAGGAAATGTGATATATTATTCTAAGCAGGAAATGTGATATATTATTCTAAGCAGATTAGATCACATTATTCTAAGCAGATTAAAATCTAAGATACCTTCTTCTTTTTTCCTTTTTTCTTTTTTTTTGGGATAAGCAATTCATAAAGTTTCATTACTCAATAACTAAACCAGAATCTACATCAGTATTTACAAAACCAGAAAGGAAAGGAGGAACACAATTAGACCAACGCATACCGTCAAAAACATCCAAACTTACAAAGAAATTGATAATGCACACCATTTATTTTAGTTTGCAAAGAATAAATATTAAACCATAAATCTCGTGGTTAAAAGTAAAGACAACTTAATTTATTATCATATAGCTTATGGTACACTATATCAGAAACCATAGTAAACTAGTTGTATTTTTTTTTTTTTTTTATACAAACTATATATGGTAAACTAGCAATAAACTGCAGAGGAAATTAAGTACCAGCCTAAATATTGTCATTGGCTTTGCTAAACGCAAACATATTAGGGCAGCGATAGATATCACAAAAAGTCTGCAGACCCATCAACAGCAGCAGCAAAATAGAAGCAAGAACAGTAAGAATCTTCCAGGAGGAGTATATATACTTCTTCAGGAGCCTTTTTATCCTGACTTTTCGAGTGTTATCGTAGTAAGCATTAGCCTTCTTAATGGCTGTATCAATGGTCCCATCCTTGGACTCCATTGTTCTCGTAAACCCGTTAAAGATCTCTGCAACCTCAGCATTGCTCAGATCACTCTCAATCACCTTGGCTTTCTTCAACACCGCAACATCCTCAGCTGTGTCTACAATTGCTCCCATTAACTCTGAGAACCGTCTGAAGTTCAACGACCCTGACTTCTCTCCGATTTCGTATGCCACAAGGTTTCTAATTACCACTTCTGAAGTAGAATTCAAAGTGATCACTGGAAGGTGTAGAGTGTGGGTTCTCTCATCAAATTTAACAAAACTGATCATGTCAACAAGAACTTAATTAATAATTAGCTGAATTAGTACTTACTAATTACTAAATTTAAAACTGAATTACAAACCTATGAAATAGTTAAATACAAACCTGGTACCGCCCGTTATAGGGGAGAATCTCATTCGGGCATTCCACAGTTCTGAAACGGATGGAATTAAAACTTTCTTGTCGTTCAAGAATGCAAAGGTTGATAAACCCAGATATCCAAAGACATTCAGAAACAAGTCTACAAATTTCTTAAAAATTTTGAAGACGCCGATGTTGATTAGTGATAGCATGCTCCACACCTTGGAAAACACACTGGAATTTGTAGGTTGGGAGGCTCCTTCAATATCAGGATTCATAAATGATTTTAAGGAATCTTTCTCTTTAAAGAAATAATTCGTCCTGTCGTCATGCTTTTTATACGTAATATGTTGGTATAGAAAATCCAATAGATGATGATGCTCCAAAACTTCCAAATCAGAACGGGACCAATTCAATTTTATCGGAGAGATCATTTTGCAGAAATCCCGGTACAGGGTCTCCAAGGAAGTTGGGTCGCGGGACTTACTCTTTGTCAAGATTTCTTTCAACACAAATCTACGCCAACGAGAACTCATCGGAGTTAGTATTTATTAATTTCAAAAAATCTTAATTCTGCACTTCAGTTAGTTCAATTAGTAAGGTACGTATATGTTCAGGAATAGTAAATATTGAGTTGGAAAATGGAATTAATTAAGCACTGGTGACAAAAACACGAACCTGGGGATCTGGTTCTCCAGCATCAGGACGTCTCTTAGGATGGCATCACTAGGTAGATGTTTTCCAGAAGAAGAGTTAAGCAGAAGAGACGAAGATAAAGACGAACAGTGAGGGATTTCTTTATGCTTGAGCAGATGGAGCAAGAAGAGACCGTCTATAGTCATTATCAGGGCCAAGGTGTCTTTGTTGAGATTCAAACGGCCACGGTAGGAGGATTTGATTTTGGAATCAAGTGTTTTGAGATGATCTATGAGCTCGTTAAAGTCGACGAGATTAAGTTGCTGGCTGGCCTCCTTAGCCCATACAATTTTGTACCTCTCCATGTCGTAGAGGTCTGAAATGAGGTGATGGTAGGGTCCAAGAGCAACTAACTGAGGAGTGTAGGCCTCAGGCTTGCAGGAGCAAAGAGAAATCGGCACCCGGAAGACGCAAACAGGAATGTCATCAATATCATTCTCAAGCGATCCACTGAGAGTTTTAGTGAGTCTCTCCACCCATTTCTGTTGAGTAAAGTCAAAATCCAATATGGTTTTGCGATCAAAGGCCATAGTGTATGTATTCTTGTTTTGGTCAGGTTTTTTTTTATGCTGGTGCAGTGCATTCTTATGATCCTGTAATTATGATTTATATTGGGAAAATTATTCGACCCACTACCGCTTTTAAGCGGCATTTATGCTCATTCCACTGTGCTTGTCATGTGTAGCGCGACTCAGTGCTGTTGTTAGGGTGTGGACATTGGAACTTCTAGAAGTGTTACATCCATGCATGCCAGGTTGCATGGGGAAGACAGATAATTGGGTGTGGAAATTGGAAAAAGATGGCTTTTGTTACAATACACTAATCCAGACAGATTGGGATCCTTGGTGGTGCCATCTAAGGTATGCGTTTTCTCATTCTCATGGCAATGTATTTTAGTAGATGAGAATGCTGCTCTTTGTGCGTTGGGTAGTTAATAAATTAGGCCAAAGCCCCTATTTGCACCCTCCATTTATTTTCTTTACAAAGTTAGCACCTTACAAAATTTTTTGTCTCAGTTAACACCCTCCACTTTTCCAAATTCGTGAAAAATCCAATATTTTAACGGATGTTCACATACCTATCATGTGAACATTAATAACCGTTAAAAAGTGAAATACATAGTACCCACAGTGATGTGAGCATTTTGTGACGTTATTAATCTGACATCGACTTTTTTTTTTATGATGTGACATAATTTCTGCACACGTGGATGCCATGTGTGCAATGAGACCACTGTTGGTTGGACTTTTGTGTCCCAACCAAAAATAAACCTAAAACATGAAACTTTAAAAGGGATTTGCAGCACCTTTTGGGGGATTTAGGGATTTGCAGCACCTTTTGGGGGATTTAGGGTTTTGCTTCATCCCCTTTTTAATCTTCACCGATCGTTCCATGATCTTCCTCTTTCACTTTCACTCATATCGAGCCATGGGTTGCTGTGAATCAATGTTCCTCAAAGGACTAGACTCCTCGCACCACAAAGACCATCGCAACAACAACTAGCACTAGGATAATAATCGGTTCCATAATATCAAAGAGTGAGATGGCTATTGAACAAGGAGGAAAGAGACAGTACGACAATGGCAACTTGACAACCGATTTCAAGGATTTCGGAAACAGACTACCAACTTTTGACAAAGGATTACTAAAACAATGTGTGTCTTTCCACTTTGTTAACTTTCCTAAGGATTGGGGGCCGAAGTAGTTGTTTTTCTTTATTAGGACGGCTGTGAATGCAAGTGGACTTTAGGATATTTTTATCTCGAGCAAGAGAGACAGAAGAGGCAATAGGTATGGTTTTGCCAGATTTCTAGATGTCAGGAATGATCAAGAGATGAAGAAGCAACTACGAAATATCTGGATTGGTAACCAAAGGGTGATTTTTAATCTTACTGTGGAAAGACGAGAAGAGAATAGAAGGATGGAAGCAAAATCAGTGGATGTAACAAGATGGAAAAGTAACAAAAAGATGACCATTGCTAAAGATAAGAATAAAGTGGAAGAAAGGAGTAAGAAGGTCCCAAGAATGACATATGCGCAATGCCTTTTTCAGCAATAAGAAAAGGCAAATTCCAGTGAAACAAGAAAGAAAGGCCCTTCACTATCAAGGACAAAAGAATATCCGAGGAGTTCTAGTAAAGGAATGCTTAAGATTCATAGTCTTGGTGGATTTATGTACAAAAAGGTGATCAAATTAAAAGAGACAGACAAAGCCAAAAATAAATTGATGAAGTGTGTAGTGAGGGTGGTTTTATCTCCATCTATCATCCCAAACCTCCCAAAGATTTTCTTTAATGAAGGATTTCCTTCAATCAAAATTGCCCCTATGGGAGGTAATCTTGTGTTAATTGATGATGAGGACCTAAAGTATGTAAAGGAGCTAGTAGATGGGAATCTATAGTGGGTGGTAGCTTATTTTGATAGAATTAATTATTGGTCTCCATCAGATATTGTAGAAGAGAGATTTGTGTGGGTGAGAATCCAAGGATTATCGATGCATGCTTGGTCTGAAGAAAGCTTAACAACGATCGGTAACCATGTGGGTAAGCTAGTATCAATTGATGAATACACACTCTTTAAGGAGTGTCTGGATGCTGCAAGAATTTTAGTCTCAACCAAATCCAAAATAGTGATAAATGAAGAATTCATCCTTAGAATGAAGAATAATTGTTTTCACGTAGCTTTAGTGGAGGAAAATTGCAAGATTGATCCTTAGTGATTGAAGAAAACTGTAAGGTCAATTATTGAGTTAGAGGTGAGTTCAATGGCGTTTAATTTTGGTGAAGACTCCAATGGGCTTGATAGTGATAGCTTAAACAAGCTAGAGGAAGAAGAAATTTAAACACCTTTCAAAGGTGTCAATGGCATTAATTGTTCTGACAAAGTGTGCGTCTCAAAGACGCTTGTTGAGGTGGGCAAGGCTAACAACGGCACTCTATCAAATCAAGAGAGTGGGAAACAGAGAGAGGAGCAAGAAAGCGGGCAAACAAATGGGAAGCATACCAGTTTGAATACAACTCTAGCTTTTGATGTACAAGTAATCCAAGAAATGGCCCAATCTAGAAGCCCAGAAGATAGCAAAAAGGAAGAAGCTCATTTGGTTAAGGATAAAAGAGAAATGGATTACTAGGAGAAAGGTGGGCTTTAAGTGCATAAAAGCCATAATAAGAGCCCTTCTTTACTAGCAGAAGTGAGGACAGTATTAACAAAGTTGGTAACTGGTACAAAATGTGGAAGAAGGAGAAAAGCAATGATCCAGCCGATCAACTTCAGTGGTGAATCCCTAATAGGCTCTTTATCGGACAATGATATCTTATATAATAACAGAAGAATCAAAGAAGGCATGATTGTAGAGGAAGCAAAGAAGGTGTTGGATTTTGGGAGCAAGCTAGGAATTCAAACCAAAAATCAAGAAGAGCAGATCCTAGAAAGATTCAAGCAAATGGAAGAAAAGGACATACAAGGGTATGTTCATCAACCATTAAGGTAGGATTTTCTGTCAATCTTCAAAAATCTCTATAAATGAAGTTGCTATCTTATAATGGTAGAGGGTTTGGTATTGTCATAAAAAGAAAAGTGGTGAGAAGTATGGTGAGGAAACAGGAAATTAATTTTGCTTACTTTCAAGAAATTAAAATAAAAATGATTGACAAGAAATTTTGTCTATCTATTTGGGGGCATGAAAACTTTGATTGGGTATATAAGGCTTCAGTGGGTAGATCAGAAGGTCTACTATGTGTGTGGGACAATGATATATTTATTAAAGAAACAGTTGTTGAGATACAGGTGCTGTGGCAATTTATGGCTTGTGGGAAGTAAAGAAGCAAAAGTGGTACATTGTCAATGTGTATGCAATGTGTAATAGGAATGAAAGATTGGAGTTATGGGCATAATTATGAAAGATGATTGAGGAAGAGGAAGGATTTTGGTGTATAGCTGGTGACTTCAATAATGTAAGATCAGAAGAGGAGAGAAGAGGAAGATCTGAGCATTCTTGCTACATGGAGCATCTTAATGACTTTATTGAAAGTGCTGGGTTGAATGATTTGCCATTAACAAGAAGGAAACTCACTTGGTATAAGAGCAATGGGCCAGCAATGAGTAGGTTGGATAGATTTCTTATTTTTGATGTCCTCCTTAATTTTTGGGGTGATTGCTGTCATGTTGAATTAAACAGATCCATATTAGATCATTGTCTGGTGATACTAAAGAAGGTTAACAGTGATTGGGGCCCAAGGCCATTTAGAGCTTTGAATTGTTAGGATCAGCATCCAGACTTCATAAATGTTGTTGAGGATATTTAGAAAACTATAGAGGTTAAGGATGGAAGGGATATGTATGCAAAGAATAATTGAAACAATTGAAACAATTGAGGAATAAATTGAAGAAATGGAATATTGAAGTCTTTGGCAACTTCAAGCATCAAATTGTAGACGTAGAAGCTAAAATTAAAGAAATTGATAGCAAGAACGAGGACAACAAAATATCAGAGGATGACATCTTGGTTAGAAGCGAGGGTTTCAGTGAATCATGGGAAGCATGGCAAAGAAGAAAAGTGGCATGGAAACAGAAGATTAAGCTTGATTGGGTCCAGCAAGGAGATGCTAATTCTAAGTTATTCCACAGAATTGCTAGTAGTAACAGGTCTAGAAAATTGATTCGAGGCATTTATCAAAATGGCTCACGGATGGATAACCTAGTGGAGTGAAGTAAGAAATGCGTGAATACTTCAAAAATCTTTTTCAAGAAGAGTAGTAGGATAGGCCAAAGCTTGATGGATTACAATTCAAACAGCTAGATGGTGAAGACATACTTTGGCTAGAAAGAGATATCTCAACGGAAGAGGTGAAACAAGCAGTGTGGGAATGTGGAGGGGACAAGTCTCCAAGCCCTAACAGGTTCAGCTTCCACCTGATTAGATTTATCTAGAGTGTGGTAGAGAAAGATATTGTTGATTTTGTTCAAAAATTTTCTAGTAATGGCAAGTTGGTAAGGGGACTAAACTCTTCATTCATTGTCCTTATCCCAAAAAAAGATAATCATGTTGACTTAAAAGACTATAGACCCATCAACTTGATTAATAGTCTTTATAAAATAATATCGAAGGTGCTAGCTAACAAGATTAAGAAAGTTTTATCTAAGGTGATTAGTGGGAAACAATTTGCATTTTTGGGAGGAAGACAAATCACTGATGGTATCCTAATTTTAAATGAAGTAGCAGAGGAGATCAAAAGGAAAAAAGGTTAGCAACTTCATTTTTAAAGCAGACTTTGAAAAGGCATATGACTGTGTGAATTGGGACTTCTTAGATGAAATGATGTGGAGGCTTGGATTTAGTAAAAAATGGAGAACATGGATAAGGGAGTGTCTGCAAACTACTTTGGTATCAATTCTTGTTAATGGAAGCCCAGCTAATGAGTTCAAATTGAAAAGAGGGATAAAACAAGGTGATCTGATTGCTTTGTTTCTCTTCTTAATTATTGCAGAAGGGTTAAATATGTTGATTGAATTGGCCATAAGTAAGGAACTATTCTAAGGAGTCGATATAGGCCCCATTGGTTTTAACATATCCCATCTCCAGTTTGTCGATGACAATGTTATTATGGGGAAGGCAGATCATGGAAATATTAAAGCTGTGAAAGGGATTTTGAGATGGTTTGAACTGGTTTCAAGTTTGAAAATCAACTTTAACAAAAGTGTGCTATACTCATTCTATGTTTCTGATTAGTGGGGGAGAATAGTGGCTGCTTCTCTTAATTGTAAATCAAGTTCCATCCCTTTCACCTACCTTAAGATGCTAGTTGAGGACATTATGTGCAGAAGGAAAGCCTAGATTCCAATTATTGACAATTTTAATAAAAAGCTGGCAGTTTGGAAAGCAAAATTCTTGTCGATCGATGGTCGAGTTACGCTGCTAAGGTCCGTTCTTTTTGCCCTCCCTATCTACTTTATGTCTATTTTTAAAATTCTTAAAATTGTGCTTCATGATCTTGTGTGCTTACAAAGGAAGTTTTTGTGGGGTTATTAAGAGGAGAAGAGTAGGTTAGCGTGGTTGAGTTGGGAGAAAGTATGTAGGGGGAGAAAAGAGGGAGGCATAAGTGTACCGGACCTTGAGTGTAGAAACCTAGCTTTATTAGGGAAGTGGTGGGACAGATTTGGGGAGGAAGAGAATAGCTTATGGAAGAAAGTTATTACTGATAAGTATTACGGTGGTGGTACAATGTGGGACATCAAACAAGTTCAAGTTAGGAAATTACCTTCATTATAGGGGACTATTGTGGCCTTAGGTAATGAGGGGGGGTAAAGGCTCATGGATATTTAGGGAAGGGTTCCTTTGGAAGTTAGGGATGGGTCACAAAATTAAATTTTGGTATGATAAATGGGTAGGAATAGAATATTTGAATGTCTCCTTTCCTAGATTATTTAATTTAGCATCTAATAAGAATGCTAATGTTATGGAAGTGGGCCAATTTTCTAATGGCTCATGGATTTGGAGAAATGCTTGGAGAGGTGAACCTTTTGGCAGGGAAAGGAATGAAGAACAAACACTAAAGGAAAGCCTAATAGGTGGGATCGTGTTCTCTACCCAATCAGACCAAAGAAGTTGGAGTTTTGATGCTGCAAATGGATACACAGTTGGTAAGGCTTACTCAATGCTGGCTAGATAGAATAGTATTTTGGAACCAAGAATTTGCAAAAGGCTCTGGAACAGATTGGTACCAACTAAAATTAGTTATTTCGGTTGGTGCCTTCTTCTTAATGGTCTCCTAACAAAATCTGGTCTTCTAAAGAAAGTCGTCAAGCTGGAAGAAGTAGAAACTATCTATTACATATGTAGAAGGGACCTTGAGGATGCAAATCACTTGTTCATTCAATGCCCAAAGATACAGAGTCTATGGATGAAATGCTACAATTGGTGGGGGATTTCCCTACCCCTTCCCATCTCCATTTTTCTTCTTTATGAAGCCCACAACTTAGGGATCGAAAAGGTGGTAAAATCCAATGTTTGGTTCTTCATATTCTTGGTGGTTACATGGTCCATATGGTTTACGAGGAACTCTATTATCCATAATGCACAACAGTGGGATGAGGGTAAGGCTTTTGATTTAATTCAAAGAAGGACTTTTGTATGGATAAGTGGGAAGATTACTAACTCTGTATTTTCTTTTTTTCACTGGTGCAATTCCCCTAGTTTATGTGTTCAAGAAATTACTAGAAGTTAGTTTATTGTTCAAGCTTTCAATTCTTCCTATTTTGATTTGGCTTGGAGTGCCTTAATTAGTGCCATCTTGTAATGTATTTTTGTGACCATGGGTGGAGTACCCCTTGTACTCCTTACTATTATAAATATTTTGATTCATCTAAAAAAAATAATCGATTCCATAATAACCACCACAATTAGACCGACAACGGCCCTCCATCGTCATCCAATGGTGCAGCAGCTTCCATTAGTGTTGGAATGGAAGGCATATCGGATTTCATGAAGCTCAAGGCTGCCACTAACAACTTCAACACCGATTTCATTGTCTCTAAGAGCGGCAAGAAGGCTTCAAATGTTGTGTACAAAGGCTGGCTCCAAAATAGTAATAATCGTGGTTGGATTGCCATCAATAAGTTTTCCAAATTGGCATGGCCAGATCCAAAGCAGTTCGTTGTATGTTATTGAATCCATGGAATCATTTCCATTTCTAGGGTTTCAATTTTGTTGATATCAGTTGATTTATTTCCTTGGTTTTGTTTAGGATGAAGCTTAGGGCATCGAGAAGCTAAGACACAAGAGGCTAGCGAATTTGATTGGGTATTGCTATGAAAGAGGAAGATCATGGAAAGATTAGTGAAGATTAAAAGGGGGATGAAATAAAACCTTAAATCCCTAAAAAGGTGCTACAGATCTCATTTAAAGTTCCTTGTTTTAGTTTTTTTTTTTTTGGGTTGGGACACAAAAGTCCTTCCAACCATGGTTGCACTACACGTGGCATCCACATGTGCAGAAAATTGTGTCACATCATAAAAAAAAAAAACCACATTGAATTAATAATGCCACATAATACTCACGTCATTGTCTAGGTGCTATATATTGTACTTTTTAATGGTTATTAACATTCACATGACAGGCATGTGAACGTCCGTTAAAATATTAGATTTTTCACGAGTTTGGAAAAATAGAGGGTGTTGACCGAGAGGAAAAATTTTGTAAAGTGTTGATTGTGGAAAGAAAATAAGTGGAAGGCGGAAATAAGGGTTTTGGCCAATAAATTATGTGATTTAGTGATTACTTTTTTGTTTATAAAAGTAAAATATTCTTGGATTATGCAATAGAATGGGATTAGATATTTGAGAGGATATTGTTTCATTGTAGGTTTAAGTACCATTTTGGTCCCTTAACTTTTCACTTTGGTACTAAAATTATCCCTCAACTTTAACAAGTACCAAAATTATCCCTAAACTTTTATTTTCGGTACCAAAATAGTACTT